AGATTTAGCTGGAAAACCTAACTAGTAACATAAAAGGCAGCACTAAATGAATATGTTCAGATCAAATAGATACTTCTTACAACTTCTCACATGTTACTAATATATGTTTTTAGACTTTAATTTTAACAGAAATGCCTGTAAAGCTGTCACAGTAAAGGTAATCGGCAGCCAAGTTGTACTATTGAAGAGCGAAATAATTCACAGAAATCATTCGTCCTAAAAGTATGCCTCAATATCAAGGCATATCTAATCTCTTGGGCTTTTATTAAAGAAAACTCTGAAAGAGAAGACAAAAACTGCAATTCTACTTAAAAAAATTATCAGGGTTTAATGTAAGTTCCTATTGATTCTTCTTCACTAAACACAATTAAGAAGATAATTTTAAGAGGGTGTGGATCCAGGAAAAAAAAAATCTTAAGACGAAAACCTGCATACAAATATTTATAGCGCCTCTGTTCATAATTGCCAAAATCTGGAGGCAACCAAGATGGCCTTCAATAAGTAAATGGATGAACAAACCGTGGTACATCCATACGATGGAATATTATTCAGTGATAAAAAGAAAGAGCTATTGGGCACTTGGGTGGCTCAGTCGGTTAAGCATCCAACTTTGGCTCAGGTCACAATCTCATGGTTCATGAGTTCGAGCCCTGTATCGGGCTCTGTGCTGACAGCTCAGAGCCTGGAGCCTGCTTCACATTCTGTGTCTCCCTCTCTCTCTGCCCCTCCCCTGCTCATGCTGTCTCTGTCTCTCTCAAAAATAAATAAACATTAAAAAAAAAAAAAAAGAGCCATCAAGCCACAAAAAACATAGAGGAAGGAAGCTTAAAAGCATATTGCTAAAGAAATGAAAGAGGCCAGTCTGAAAAGGGTACACACTGTATGATTCCAACTATTTGACATTCTGGAAAAGAAGACAGTAAAAAGGTTAGTGGTTGCCAGGGGCTGGGGGGCAGGGGAGAGGAGAGATGAACAGGTAGAGCACAGGGGATTTTTAGGGCATGAAACAATTCTTTGTGACACTGTAATGGCTGCATTTGTCAAAACCCCAAACATTGTATAACACTGAGAATGAATTCTAATGGAAACCACAGACTTTAGTTAATAACAATATTGTTCGTAATTGTGACAAATGTACCACATCAATGCATGTTAATATGCGAAACTGGGAAGGGAATGGTGGAGGGGGTATGTTCCATAACTGCACTTCATGCTTAATTTTTCTGTTAACCTAAAACTGCTCTAAAAAGTAAAGTCTGTTAGAAAAATTATAAGGCAGTTTGAAGAGGAAAAAGGCTGGCTGACCTGAACAGAATGATGTGAATTACTACCATCTCACATACATTAGCTTATGATGGCCTATTTTTGACTGAAATAATATGAGTATAATAAAATACCAGGACATCAGTGTAGAATTATCTTGGTTTCAGAAATGGAGGGGACCTTAGAGATGAATAAACAGGCTTAGATAAACTTAGAAATTAACCAATTGTGACCACCAAACACTCCAAATGTTTCTGAAGGGGGAACATTGTGTTTGGTTTGTGCTGGGGCAAAGTACATGTATTTAAGTATTATGGAAAAAAATATAGTTGCTTAGGATGCAAGAAAAACTCTCTTAAAATTATTTAGGTTAACACATTGGAATGTACCCCAAATTACTATATATATCTGTACCTACATGGTTTAATTTTGCTAATTTTACAGACTCTTTGAGGGTTCCTAAAGCTCTTTGTCAACATAAATGATCCACATTTTCAGCTATTTTATTTTGTTTTTAATTTTTTTAAGTTTATTTCTTTCTCTTCAGAGAGAAAGAGAGGGAAGGGCAGACACAGAGGGAGAGAGAGAATCCCAAGCAGGATCTGCACTGCCAGCACAGAGCCTGATGTGGGGCTTGAACTCACAAATGGTGAGATCATAACCTGAGCTGAAATCAAGAGTTGGATGCTTAACCAACTGAGCCACTCAGGCAGGGACATTTTCAGCTATTTTCAAACTCTGGGCAATAAATGTTCCAAGGGCTCATTAGAGAGGTAGTGCAGCCTAGGGTTTGGAGTTTGGTGGTGGAACTAGATCACCTGGGTTCAAACCCTGGTTGCACTGCTTGCTGGCTAACCTTGGGTAAGTTACTTAACTTTCATTGGCTTTTGTTTCCCCACATGTAAAGTGGGGACAGTAGCAATACTCACTCATGATTAAATGAATTAATGCACATAATCACATGTGCAGGGCCTGGTCTACAGCTGTCAAGTGTTAACTGCTATTCGTATTGAAAAACTGATTTTAGGAGACCATGCCTGCAGGTCACTTTGGGGATCATCTGTGATGATCCTGCAGGTTGATGGAAACATGAAGACTATGCTATAGTGAAACTTCTCCTACTTTGAGGGAATTACATGTTAACTTGTAGGATTTCTCTACTGAACTGTGAACTCAGGGAGCGCAGGAGCCAAATCTTAGTCATCTTTGTTAACAAAGTACATTAAGGAAGCATTTCTCAGAATAAAGAACCGTACTGATTTACTTCTTACTGGGAAAGAAATTTTAATTTCAGCTAAAATGCATACTGTTGAATTGAAAACGTCTTTTTTTTTTTTTTACACCCAAAGAGTTAAAAACCAGGTAAAGTTTTAATCTACAGTAATTTGGCCTAATGATATTACTACATATCAACTTCTAAGATCACCAGTCCTAAAGTATTTCCCCTGGGTAGACCTGATCATTCTGGGACTTTTGACTGCAATGCTACCATGTTGAAAACAGATAAAACAGCGTCTTGAAGTTCAAACTGAAAATTAACTGCCAGTTGAGATCCACACCATTTTCAGTTGGTGAGAGTTCTAATTCACAATACAATAGTCCCAGATAACAGCAAACCTGAGTTTCTCCTTTTGAAAGGCTCTAATAAATCCACTGAGTGCAACTTCAGCCACTGTACCAAAGACTGATATTTATTTAATCAAGATGGGAGATAAGGGTTTGTGATATTCTAAGAAGCAATGAAGTCCCTATTTTCATGTAAACTACCCCAAATAAACACCAAGGGCAGCAAACCAGAAAAACCCCAATGAACAGAAGAATGGCTTCTAAACAGAAGGCCTTTTCTGTTTCATTTTAAGCAACAGACAAGTATTTAACTAAATTATTCTCCGCTGACACTATTAAAATGGCTTCCCTGTTATCAGAATGGAATTTCAGATCCACTTAATTTCAAGAAATTGAAATTCAAATCACAAATCTGGTTTTAAATGGTGCTATGTGCTGTATGCACTATTTATGCGGATTACAGCATCGAAGTAGCTGGACTCAGATAATTGAGTTAATAGCATTAAATCAGAGATGCCAAATTAATTTCTTAGACACGTTCATAAATAGCTCTAAAATTATTATGAGGCTTGATGATTGAAAAATGTTCCCATTTTATTGTTCACTGGTGACATAATTTAGAGTGGATATATATTGAGAATACCAGATTCCCAGAATTATAAAACCGTGAACCAAGACCCCTACAGGGCACCTCGTCCCATGTCCTCATTTTCTAAGTAAGAAAACGAGGCCCAGGAGAAGCAGGCAAGTGCAGTAGTTAAATACTGGAGTCAGATCTGCGTTCTAGTTCCAGATTGGCAAGTTATTCACTATGTGACCTCAGGAAAGTTACTTAACCTCTCTCAGCCTCAGTCTCTTCAAGAGTAAAGTGGGGGTAAGGACACTACTAATCTCTAGGTTTGTGACAGGATTCAGTGGGATAAACACACAAAGCACCCAGCATAGAAGACTGGCACATTTTACCTACTTGGTAAATATTAGCAGTTATTATTATTATGACTAAGAGTGACTTCCACAGCATGTAAGCAGCAAGAAAACCAGAACATAGAGTTCCTGACACATACCACAGCTTTTTTCATCTAAATATAGTACCTGGGATAAAGATTCTTTGGCACTGACAATAGAAGTATAACTCTACATCAAATAGAAGGATAACTATTTTCAGTCTTTCTGTTACTGAGCTGATCCAAATATTAAATCAGTGATCACATACTGAGGTCTCAGTTTCATGAAGATTCACACACCCTCAGCCTTCCAAGAGCAATCAGTATTACATATTTGCCTTCGTAACTGTTTTAGTTTAATTCAATGCTTTTAAATATTTCGCACCCAACACTGCTCATATAAAATAAATGATGATGTAAACTGGCCACAAATAAGAGTTAGGGTTCACTTGCTGACAAACTTAAATTTGAGTGTTACTTGCTATATGGAGTAAGCCTATTCTCAATCTGTACTGTCAGTCAGCGCCACACCCCTCTATTTATCTGCTACGGAGGAAGCAAGAATAAAGGATACAGGAAAAAAACAAAAGCTAAAGTGGGTGTGCAGCAGGAGTAAGACTTGGTCTGGCTAATACAGCTTCCTAGGAACCCAGCAATCACCAATCACAGGCATTTGCAATTGCCCTTTTTGTCAATGTTTACTGCCCTTACATGATTTAACTCAGAGTTGAATGGTTTTTTTTCTTATACTAAAAAACAACAACCCAGAATAATTAAGAATTAATACTCATAAAGAACATTAGCTTTATATAATATGCTCTCAATACTTTAGCATTTGATAATGTTTTAGTTAACTGGTGGTCTTTACAGTAAATGTTCTCAGACTGACAGGTAGGTGCTTAAAGCATTTTCTTGCAACCAACTAAAGACCATTTTTCTCAATCTGGATAATGACCAGTGTATATACAATTAACTTTAAATTTTTAAAAATAATAAATGTAATATGGCATAAATACATAAATATATCCAACGCATATCAACTCAAACTACAGTGAGATAAACTCAAGTATAAACATGAACAAAGCCCAAACACCTTTTTATGGAACAGCAATGTGATTCAGCAGACCAACAGATGAAGAAAATAGTCATTTGAAAAGTGGCAATTTGTAACCATACCCGGTATTTAGTATTTCAGCGACTAGAAATAAAATTGTTTGGCAAACTTACCCTCATTTTTGCACAGGCATCTTGGGTTGATTCTGTCCCTCTGAGCTCTTTTATCAGCATAGAACCTAAATACTAAAATACAAAACATTTCAATGATTTATGAAAAAGAGTATAAATATGAGTTGCGATTTAGAAACCAAACTGTGGAAGTCCTATTGGCTGGGTTTCCTGGCTGAAAGTTGCTGAATAACTTTAAAAAACTAACAGTAACTAATTCTAATAAATGCCTTTAGAAAGAGAATGCCGTAGAATTAACTACAGTTCTGAGGGCTGTAAATTGCTCTTTATAATAAAACTGCAGCATCTTCTAAAGATGCCATCTTTCAAATCATATTTAACTGCAAAATGGGGGCATCTAAAAATGTTTTCCTTTTTTTTTTTTTGAGGCAGCAATGTCTGCAAAAATAAATCACACTACTCTCTACGTAATTACAGGGTTGTGTGAGACAGCTGAGAAGCTAAGCAACATGCACCCCATTTGGGCTGACTTGGCTGCGTAGGTAATTAACGTTAGGCTGTTCTCGGGCGGAGACGCAGTTTGGGGTCTTTTCATTCACAGCTGCGAGCCCCGTGGTTGATCCACCTGAGAACGGGATGGGCGCGGGATGGGAGCCAGCGGGGATGGAGAACGGCATCTCGGTTGTTCCCGAACAGAAAGAGTTCAGTCCCTGCTGCAAACCCACACGGAGGGCTGAATGGGGGAGGGGAAAGATGAGAAAAGTCTCCTCCCAGGAATGACTAACCGCCGTGCGGTTAGGGGATCAGATCCAATACCGCCTCGGGACAAAACGCCACTCAGGCTCCATGTTCTAGCTGCGGGGCAGTTTGTAGCAAAATGCCTCTTTTGCCTTTCCACCAATAGACTCCTCTTCAACTCTTTGAAGCTTCAGTCGGGTTCCTTTGTCATTTTTTTCCCTCCCTAATCTCCCTCAAAAAAAAAAGAGCTCTTATGTGTTGTTGTTGTTGTTTTTTTAAAAAAGTGAATTAAAATAATTATTTTCCTGACAGGACTGAAGAAACGCTGGCACTCCGCAAAACCGCAGTTGGGAATCAGGCCTGCAAACCAGGAAATTGCCGACTGGAAGAGGGTGAGCCCTTAAGGGCTGGAGAGCAGAGGGCGTGGTTAAGGGCCTTGAAAGGAGAGTTTCCAAAGGCTCAGGGATTTGGTGTTTGAGCTTTGGAGGAGGAAGGAGGCATTTCAATCCTACAGTTTTGGAAAGATTACTGCTGAAATAAATCCAGTGCTTCACAATAAGTAGGCAGTAAAAAAGGGATAGATAACAAAATGAAAAAAAAAAAAAAGGCCAAATTGCTATGCAACAACCAGAATGCCCACATCTTAATCAAATTAAGAAAAATGAATTCGGTGAAATCCTTGTTTTTTAAGTTATCAGAGAAGTTTACCCTAATTGAAACATTTCTTTGTAAAAGAGGTGATTTTCCTTCTCCAGCTGTAGTCATGACAACCACCACCTGCCCCCGCCCAAACCTACAGTATTTTTTCAACACCTCCCTGTTTATATTGCATTTTCAGCTAAGCCTGATTCTCTCTTCTATTAGAAAAAAAATACCCAGTATTATAATTCTAGTGAAAAAATCTGGAGTAGAGCCAATGTTTTGAGATCATTAGTGAGTGAGTGGAGATGTCTGTATGTGCTATACTTCTATTCATATCCATTTAAAGATCATGCTTTATCTCATTTAAGATATACAACTATATATAAAATAGATCTTAAGCTCACAAGATTCAAAGGGATTATAAAGCTCTATTTACTTGGACTTTCTCTGTATAGAAAAGGCTACTTTAAGAATAAGAGAAGGGACAGGGCGCCTGGGTGCCTCAGTCAGTTAAGTATCTGACTTTGGCTTGGGTCATTGACCTTGTGGTTCATGAGTTCGAGCCCTGCGTTGGGCTTTATGCTGATAGCTCAGAACGTGGAGCCCGCTTCGGATTCTGTGTCTCCCTCTCTCTCTGCTCCTCCCCAGCTCGTGCTGTCTTTCTCTATCTCAAAATAAATAAATAAGTAAATAAATAAGTAAATAAATAAGACATTAAAAAAAAAGAATAAGAACGGGAGAATACTTTAAGAGTTTCAGCAGGGGACATTTTGGTATATTTTCAACATAAAAGTAAACAAGCCAGAAACACACCCTCTATCCCCTCTGGAACCCAAATATTGAATTCATAGTAACTTACAAAAGCTTTGTAATCACACGATTGGAAGATGAGCTTTTCTGGGTGGTGTTGCCAGTACTGTACTGGAGTGGAGGCTGTGGCTTCATTTGGAGGTCGCAAGGTAATGGAAGGTTCTCCCCAGTCTCCTGTCTGAAAATCACATTTATTCTAGACGTAATATGAGCAGTTGGCCAAGTTCATTCCCTACAGCTAGCCTGAGTTCTTCTTATACACATGTGCTGGGATGTGCAAATGCATTTGGGTGTATTATGTGCACATAAATACTTTTACTGTTTATTACGGTTTTATATGTGGTAGCATCATATTTCCCAAAGCTGAGTTAATTTTTGAGGTGTGAAAGAAGTTACTCCATTTTTAGATTGACGCCCTAAGCTAAGTAATTTTAAAATAAAACATAGAGATCTTCATAAATGAGGCACTAATTCATAGTTTTCTGTCACAACAGAAAAGAACATACAACTTTGAAAAGACTTTTCTGTTTTTAACCTTGATTATTTGAAATTTTTAGTTTGAACTGCTTTTACATTCAGAATACACAGTTCCATGAATTTCAGTTTCCAAATGTGACATGTACTGTGTTCTTGGGATAATTTTATATCTCTGGAGAAAAGGTAGTAAAAGTGTGACTCTAAACAAAATTTTAGAAGAAAAATTACGAATGGATGACTAGTTTCCCTCGTCTGAATTCATTTGGATTGATAAAATGCCACTGTGACTGTCTTGGATGTATTCAGCTACCTTTCTCAGAAAACCTAAAGCACACATGAATAATAAATACTTAAATACCAAGTTTGGTCATATGTGCAAATGATTCACAAATACAAGCACGTGCACATATGATGGCGTATCATATAACGCATATGCCCACTAAGACCTGAGACAGAAGGACATCCCGTAGTTTCATTTACCGTTTTCCATGAGGTTAGCCTCATATAACGGTTTAGTGTGAGCATCTATGAAGTGAGAGGTCCATGCTGGCAGGTGTTTGCTGGGCTCTAGTCCAATTTAGGTATTATATATGGGAGATTTCTCACTCTCTTCCCTGAAGATTCTCATTTCATGAAATTCAGCTCTTTGTTCTCAGATGGACATTAACAAAACTAGACAACAGGCAGATTTCCAAAGCCACTCTCTTTTAACCTGGATTTGGCTGGTCTTGTAGAATTATAAGGAATTACTCTTCTCAGGAGTTGAAAGAATACAAATAGGTCTCATGAACTCCAAAAACAAGTAAAACTTTGGTTAGAGACCAAGTTTCATAGAAGTACTAGCAAATAGGTTGATGCTGTAGGGTTTCTTAAGGAAGATTTTCAAGGAGTCTAGGATAAGAATGCAAAATTGTGGATGGAGATGTATGTTTTGGGGAAGAAAAAGTCTACAGCTTTCATTAAATTCTTTGAAAGGATCAGAGACCCTAACAGGTTAAAAACCACAAGTCTCCAGGAATAGCTTAAATAGGATGTGTGTTTTGGGGAAGAGGACCAGCATTTCAGTTTTCTCTGTTCGGTCTGGACTTACATGAGGTGGCTGCCAATGCAGTTTCTAACAGGCTCTGGAAAAATGGAAGAAAATTCTAGAGCCCCTCCAGAATGCCTTTTCACTGGGGCAGAGAATGTGAAGCTTTTCTCTGTGAGATGGGTCACTCCTAATCTCAGGAAGAGCAACGTTAGTATCATGCTAGCTCATTAGTTTCTCACTTGAGTGTGTGACCTATCAGATTTTCTCGAGCTCTCCCTCACGCTCTAGTCTAAGCTATTCTTTGTACTTGAAGATGGCTCGGTTCTCCTGTCTCCTGTCTGTTGATACAGTTAAGACTTTACCTGGAATGATTACTTTAGCATTTTTGTGTGCCTTAGGACCCATCCTTGACTCATTCTTGAGTTTTCTCTTTATATTTATATGAACTTTTATTTTGTAAAAGCAATGACTGACTTCAATTAATTTTAGGAGTAAGTTTTCCTCTGGCTGCCTATTATGATCTTCTCTTATCCTTCTCTTTCAAACATCTGGTCTTAATTATGTCTCTAGTCTTTAATTCAACGGGCTGTAATTTGCTCTTTAAAAAAACTAGTAAAAATTGAAAATGTAGGAAATGTGGATTTTGATATTATTTTGAAGGTGAGTGTAATAACCTTTAAGTGATAATACCTATAGTTAAAGCTCTGGAAACACGCAGCTATGAATTCTTAATTAAAAGCTCTCCCCAAATCTGGCAAGTACTCTAATCTGCCCCATTAACCTGCTTCCCGCCCCCCGCCTCGATAAAGCAACAACAACATAGCAAACAGGTGTTGTACATTTAAGTCACAGGTAACACTGTTAATGGAACAACAGAAGTTTGCACGCAACTCCGTGGAATGATACAAAAAGAGGAGCTCGTTGATGTTATAAGATCCTTCGATCCAGTGTTTGCTGAGGTGACAACTTAAACCAAGCATCAGATCTTCACATGAGACCTGTCATAGTTCAGCTGGGTACACCTTGGCTGAGCTCAACAGGCAGTTTTCAAAACAGTCTGAACAGACATGGCAGGAGATGGGGGTACCACAGGTTGCAGGGCAAGGGTTGGGAATAGGGCTGGGGGTGGGGAGAAGTGGGGAGAAGCTGGGGTTATGGGGACATTTCAGGTATTAGTACATTAAGCATGCAAATCATATGCAAACTCATTCTCTAACTGTTGAATTAACTCAGGCACGTTTATAACTAAATTTCAATGTGAGTTCCGTACATTTAAAGCAGAACTACAGCCAAATGCTGATCCAAATATTTACATCATCCACATAAGTCGTAGCAGCCATTTTGGGAGTAACAAGCCCCAGCACATACCAACTCAGTCTGGAATTCATCCCGACCTCTTATTTGATAACCACTTGAAGAAGTTCGTGGCACATCCATTTAACTCTGTTTAGGCAGCGCCATCATCTGCTCTTCTATGACTCCACTTTGTCCAGAAATCACAAGCCACCTGCTTTGAATTCAGAATGATCTGACAGGGCCTCCCCTACGTGCTATGGGGGAGGGAGGAAATTATAGGGAAGATAAACACAGTCCTTACTTTATTTTCTTTGTGGCCTTGAAACATTGCTCCAGTCCAAATATTTTTAAATTCTCTATACAGACTGAATCTATCTTTCTGGAAATAGACACTGAGTTTTGTCACATTTAGGACCATTTCCAGAAATTCATTTTCAGATGAGAGAAAAGTGTCGTTAAGATTGAAGGTATAAAAAAATAAATTTATTTTCTTCCTGGAAATTCATCAACTTATTATTATTGTTTTTAACCTTGGATCAAAGAATATTTATGAGACTCAATTTATAGGTGTTGATTCTTCTCTTTGGAGTTAATTTTATGAGAATGGACAGACTTGGTGACACATTACTACAAAGGGCAGGAATGGCCTTGGCCTTTGGGTTTGTTCCAGCTTCAACTGGTCAGCTGACAGTACAAGGGTCCAGAGAACAAGGTGCCTTTGGGCTCACCCACCTCGGAGGCTGGACTGCAGCAGGAATGGGCTAGGGAGGAACTGAGTAGGGCAGTATATTGTATGGAATAGCAAAAGAAACCAAAAAGCAAATTAGGGTTTCTTCCTTAGCTATAAAATAATTCCACACTGTGAGACCCATTGTCAGGTCTTGCCAAATAGTATACTCATATCAAGATGGAACCTGTATTTCTTCAGGTAAATTAATAAAATTAATTTAATAATTTCCCAGTTTTTAAAAAACTTTTGTTAATATGAAAAAAAAATCAAACAGATGTTTTGCCTCAAAAAAATGGTTTATAATCAAAACTTACATAATCAAACCTTATCCTCAACGAACAGATCTGAACACAGGTAACAATGACGCAGCAATATTTAAATAGAACAAAAAAATACAAGAGGAAAAGGTTGGGGTAAAATTCCATCTTAAACTGTTACTGACTGACAGTACTCCTTTAAAGGCTTCAGCAATTACAGAAGAGAAATGATTCAAGGCACTCTTACTAGATGTCTTCAGGCTACTTTTTTGAGCTGAAAATACTTACACCTTTCCTTTATGTTCATGTATTGAATGATCTTAATATTCCAAGTATTTGGTCATGGCTTAAAACCTCATTTACTTGATATGTATGTGCCTATGTACGTATGTATATATAGGATATTGCCAACAAAACAAAGGAAAATTAACATCATTAAGTGTCCTTTTGAGCTCAACTAACCTTTGAAGATAAAGGAAAAACATAATTTGAGATTAGAGCTTTAAACGGAAAATTGATTCTGTTGAACGGGTATTTACCAACTGTGAACCAAAAGTGCATAGTCTGGCCGAGTTTGAAGGACAGGTAGGCCATACTTAAAGGTCTTTCATACCACCAGCTGAAAGGTATAAAACCACTAACTGAATTTAGTATCTATATATACTAAGTAGTATATATACCATAGAAAAAAACTCACAGAAGTCTACCGATAGATTTTTATTGGATGGCAGAGTCTAAAATGCAGCTTTTAAACTTTGCCTTATTTCAAAAGACGGTAAAACCGTATGACTTTTAGTTCATATGCACCAGATTCATAAGGCAAATGCTAAAATATCATAGTGTGTAGCTTTCTCCCTGCAAACTGGAAACTGAAGAAACTCCATATTCTATATGCTCCGTGCATACAAAGGGAAACACTGTCGATATCCTCATTCTCTTCTTGATAAAAAAATCTCCTAAAGATGTCAGTAAATAATTACGACTTAGATTATTATCACTTAGATTCCTAACATGAACAGAAAGGTACAGTATTTTCCAAGCCTTGTATTATTCTTTAAATTTTTTTTTTAAATTAGGATTTAATTGATTTTTTTAAATAGAAGCTTTTAAATCTTTTATACTAGGAACTGTTTCCACCTACCTGCTTATAAATTTAGTTCTGAATATTAACAAACATTATTCTCTATTTCTTCAGAACTCTTAATGAAAAACTAAAATGATTTTAAATGACAACTGTTATTTTAAGGTTTCACTTTCAATAATTCTGACAAATATCAGAGATGGGCTACCCAAACATTCATAAGTTATACATGATTACATGTATTTTCTGTCATCTCTAAGGCTCTGAAGAATGTTACATAGAGCTTTATGCTTATAAATATGTATACATATATTTGGATGTGAATGTAAAGAAAGGCCTCCTACAAACATTCACACACACAAAAAAGGAGGATGCCACAACAGTTGTTTTAAAAATCTTCAGGAATAAAGAATGCTAGTTTGGTCAAATGCAGTTGGTTATACTAAATTTGTTCCTTTTGATGATAAAGAGCAGAGATGGCCACTTCTGAACATAAAAAAGCACTGGTTAGCATTTACGGGTTCGGGAGGGACCACTGGTTCACTGAAGCATCAGTACCAGGCAATGTAGAGACCCCAAGATCCCAAGAGCCAGAAGTCCCATGCACAGGAGGGGTGTGCCTGATGTGGCTCCCCTAAAAAGGCCCTCACATGCCACCCCGAGAGCTCTGCTTAGTGATTCTCAACCAAATGTCTCAACCTCTCAGACAGCTCAGAGAGCAGGCTATCCAATGGCAAAAATTTATTCAACAGGATGTGAAAACAGGATTGTATTTTAAAATACAAAGCAGAAAAGACCAAACATGAAAATGTCTACTTTCCAAACAAAAAGTGATTTTTTTAAAGTATGCAAAGGTAAAATGTGAATATTTGAATATTAGGTGGCTCAGTGTAAAATGGGTCATGATTTCAACACTTTCCAAAGATCAATTCAGAATCGTCAAATGGAAAAAGGCTGAGAACCACTTTGTAGCCGTAACAGTGCAGCTCTTGGCTATACTACTCCCACACTTGCATAAAATGTATACAGAATATCATGCAAATCATACTCCAATATTTCTCACAAGTAAAGCACACGAACCTTTGAGAACTGTTAGACACAATGGGTTGAATAGCCCATGGACATGGGGAAGTACGAGATGAAGAAGAGTAACACCGATATATACATGTGTGTATATATATATATATAAATATATATCAATTTACCCTTTTCCTTCTTCCTGTAAAAGCAAATTAACACAGACACCTGGGATGAAAGTCAAAACTCACATGGGACAGATTTTAACTGCAGACTTTAAAACCAAGTATGTTTCTCATTTTAGGACAATGTTTGCACGTCAACTAGTCACAAGGCACAGTGAATGAAATATAATAGACAAGATCTCAGGAGTCATTAGACATCACGAATTTTCTGCATTGCCCAGGACACAGTACCTGTAGCTATTGACAACACTTTGCAACACATTACAGAGCGCAAGTTCAGGAAAGAAAATAACCATTTGTAACCTTACATTATGAACCTGATGGATGGCTGAGAAAGGAAATCCAGCGTTCTGATTCGTCCATATCTCACAGACAGACGACTGCTGATATAAACAGAAAACTATCTCATCTTGTCAATATTTAGAACATGGCAGCTACCATGGTAGAATCAAGGAAAGGAAGGAGGAACATAATAAAAAGCAAAGAATCACATTTCTTAAACACTGACTCACACACATACACACACACACGTGCACGCGCACACACAAACTCAAAAAATGTTTTAGGATGCCCAGGTTTAATAATTGGCTTCCAAGTCATTCTTTTGCTTAAAAGCATTTTGGGTTGGCTGAAGGGGGGGGGTGGGTAAGAAAAAAAACACTTATGCATTAGTTTTATATCAAGGGAGATTACCAATAAATGCACATCTTGGAAAAAGCAAACTGTTTTACATTTGCCAAAGAGAACGGAAATATCTTCCCTCTTCACATCATTCATTTCAGAGGATAAATAGTTTCATGAAGTTCAAGATGGGAAAAAAGCCTTTAACGCAGAATAAATGTTTTTATTTTCTTATCTTCAATGACCAAAAGCAAACAATGCAATAAAATGACTTTCCTGACTTAGTCATTGCTCCACTTGATAAACCTAGAAGATCCTTCTCCCTCCGGAGTTCTCAAGGGCAAAACTGCGGTTGACATGGAAAGAAGCATCAGTCTGCCACTCAGCAGTGGAAGTGTGTGTGGTGGGGGAGGCAGGAAGGAGATTAGAGCAGGGAGGGGTTGGGGCCAGGAAGCCGGGGTCTGTTACTGAAGCAGACGCTTTGGTGAACAGCACTGGGGAGCCTAATGAGTCAGCTCCGTGATCTCAACTCTCCATCACACCATTAACAATTAAATAATTAACAATTATTAAAAGGCAATAATGTTTGCTTAGAACCAAATGCCAAACTAAGTCCCCTCCCGGGAATTACAGCAGAACCACCAAATAAAGCGAAGAGACTCCTGGCTTGATCTTTATAGAGTTCTTTTCCTGAATTCCATCATTCTAAAAGACACCATGAAATTGAATCACAGAAAATGGCAGCATGCCTAAACTTACTCAGTAAGCACTGTGAACATCCCCAGAATTCACAAGCAGGCCGTACAAAGATCATGCAGGAAGGAGATAAGAACATAACCACAATATGGTTTAGAAGCCCGGCAAAGAACAATCGCATCAGCAAATGAATTATGGAAAAGAAACTTATCCCTGGCTAAATGTCTTCCCTACCTCCACCCTCCCAAAAATGCTCACCAGAAATTTAACATCTCTCTGTCCAGTTACAGTGGCATGTCCCACCCACACACAAACATCTTTGCTTTCCATCCCTTCTGTCATCTGGATGACTTGCTGGGGACGGATTGTTAGGTAACTGGCATTTCCTTAAGGAAGTAAGATCCCTGGGGGCCTGACCAAAGGCAACTTCAACCACCTCCCACTTTAAGTGGTTTAACCAGGTTTGCTACTCTCAGCTCCCTCTCTAAACTCCATGCTATTTCCTCCACAGGGGATCTTCCTCTTCCTACCTTTCAAAAATTAAAACTCTAGCAAGCTAAGTGTTGCCCATTAACCTCCCAGCCTCATCTACAATAGCTGCCATCTGATTTAAATATACTAACTCCATGCTTTGGTGGGACTGCCATCTTAACTGGCATAAAACATACTTCTAGGATATCCTTGACCTTTTCAGTACTATCATCCACAGTTCTGAGCTAATTCTTTTACAACTTTCAGAGACTTTTAGTGCTAGAAGTAACCCAGGGACCGCTTGTCATCTGCCAGATGAAGGCGCTGAACTGACATTCAGAGAGGGTAAGTGGCTTGCTCAGGTCACACAGGGGAGGGTCACAAGTCAGCCTGTGGGGATGGCTGGGAAGGAGTGCCAGCTTGGTACTGACTTCACAGGAAGCCAAGGAAGGCAAAGGGAGTCTCCAGTTAGATGGAGATATGTATTGTGTTACTGATCCTGAACAAGTGTCTGTAAACGTAACCAGTTCAACGAAGAGTCTCAACTCCATTGGAGTTCAAATAACCTGAATGTTTTATTGTTTTCCAATCCTTATTCCCAAATGGGCCAGCCCAGTCTCCCCTCCCTGATGGGCATCAGGCCACTTGACATTTTGGGCAGATCTCCTAACTTCCTGGTCACTGTGAATCACTAAGAATCCATTTTGTATGCAACTCCAGTATCATCTGATTCGAACTTTGCCTTCCCTTACCACAGGCCAGTCTTGAGGCTTAAAAAACCCATGGTGGCTAAAAGAGATTTGATTTGTACTTGGTCCTCTTCTCCTTTGTTCTTCCTGTAGGAGCAGGGAGGAGTGGGGTGGAATGGTCAATCCTGGAAACCCAGGACCCAAGCTCTACCTCCTTCATGCCCTTTGTTGGGGAGGAGAGCACAGGACAAGGACAAGGGCCTCTTTTCTTATCTGGCTATGGCTAGATTCTCCGTTGGCTGCACTGCTTCTCCAGGTGACACTAACGCGGCTTCCAGCATCCTTGTGTAGCTGGTGCACCCACCCTGCCCCACCCCCACACAGGTTCTGCTGTATACCCCTGTGAGATCTTTGGAGGGCTCTGCTGAGGAAGCGGAGTGGGTCCCCACTGCACAGTTCCTGATGTGAGAAATACGTCCCCAGCTTGACTTCCTCTAACCTCTGCTCAGCCCTCCTAGCGTCCATGCTGGCCCCTTGGATGGGACACAGGGGACAGGGTATAACCCAACCTCCTCAGGACGGGCTTGCTCTGTGACCACTCCCCTCTCTGCCAGGAGATGTCCCTCCAGTTCCCTCTTCTTCAGCTCAGGCTGGTGTATCTGCTTGTCAGAATTCCAACTGTGGAAAGAGATGCCAGTTTCCCCTTCTGGTAGGTTCCCCCACTCTGGATAGACCTTCCTCTTAGAGCTCTTCTCACTAGGCTTAGAGGGCACGGGGACACCTCTCTCCTCTGCCACATGCTCTCCTCAATGGCTCAGACAGTTCTCAGCCCTTCCCAACACCAATCTTCTGCCTGTGCAGACAGGTAGCTGACTGGGCAGGGCAGGACTCATTACCTCTTGGTCAATCCTGAACAAAGTATCTGGCTCCATTCTCAGCAGCTTTCTCTTGAGAATGTTTGATACTTAGTACCTACATGAAATTGCCACTTAACATCTTGTTACACGAATTTTATCTTCCAACAGTCCCAGAAAGTTACCACAGTTAAGGAGGGAAGAGACCATCTCATGCATCACTTATTTTATTTTTAGAAATCCATATAAAATTTTTTTCAATGAAGAAAAAAAACCTACCTCTAGTCACATACACTGAAGAGGCTTTGTATATGGTTTATATACATTTTAAAGACATTACAATAACTATTTTCATGTATAAGCTATGTCTTAAACTTAGAAAAAATAGAACTTCTATAATTTCCAGCAATTAATTGACTCAATGCAAATGGTAAAAAGTCAGACTTTTAAAAAAGAGTTGAAAGTAGATGCAGTTAATTGAGTTTTAGTTATGGAGGTTGTTGAAGAAAAAGCTGATAATTTCAGATACCGCAGTAATTCTGTTGGCAATAAATAATTCATCAGGCTCAAAGAGCAGTTACTTCAGGGGGATCAGCTGTAACTGGTGTCTTCATAATATAAAATGGCTCTTCTTCTAGACACAATGGTTATTAGACTGAGTGCCAGAATGATTTTTTTTAAATGCAAAAGAGTTTCCACCACAGAATTTCACTACATTGATGAAGATAATATTTCGGGGTACAACTTGTACTGAAGTGCTGAGTTTTGAACAATTCTGAGAAAGAAAATACTGGTGATAAGATTTCATCTAGGGCCCAAATTCCTAGAACAGTAGTAACTTAAATCTAAGCTTCGATTAAGCGTTAGAATGTCTTCATCTGTGAAGAACAATAATAGTATTTGACCCACTTATTTCATCAGGTTGTTCTGTAATTCGTTAAGCTTCATGAGAGACGGAACTTTTTCACAGCTAAATTTCTAGGACCTGGAAAGTAGAAGGCCGTCAAATGTATTTACTGAATCAGTGGAATCATAGAATGTGTTCAAAAGTTTCTTGGCAAATAGTAAAGCACTACAGGAACATTAATTACTGCTGTTCGTTATCATTTGTAATTGGTCCGCTTTGTTGTTGACACTTGTGCCTTCCGTCAACGACGTCACTGCTGACGTATTTCTGGTAAAAGGCACCAGAAATTAACCTTGCAGACTTTTTATTAGAACACTTCTCATCTTTCCTGATAAAAGCTGACAAAGGGCTGCTCACTTCATTGAAGACAGAAGGAACATTTGTAATTAGTACACCTCTATGTTAAAGGCCAGCTTATACAATTCTATAAAAGGACGTTAAAAAAAATAAATAAATAAAAAATAAAAGGACGTTAAACATCCCTCTGCAAGTTCATTTGCTTATTTCTCAGGCTAACTTAGCTTATCTGAACCTGAATTACCATGATATCCAAATAAATGGGGATTAAGGAAAGATGTGTAGTAGTCTTATAACTGAGATATAATTAATAATTTAATGTTGATTTCCTTGATGAAGTGAAGGTATATACTTTTATCATTAGTGTAGACCTCTCTCCTCACTCTGGAAATGTTTTCTTAAAATACAACACACAGCTCACTCATTCTTGTCACCGTCCTGTATCTCAGGTTACCAGGAATTCAGTTCAGAAAATACAACACACTTGCATTCAAATCTACTGACAAAATGGAAAGCGTATTCTCTCTCTTCAAGGTTTTCTTCCTAAAGGTGGACTTCTTTTCTGCTCAACTGGTAGCAATCCAGTAGTTTATAGTATATTCTCTCTTCCTCCTCATCTATTTCCCCCATCTTTACCGGAGCATTCTCAAACAGTGCTATAACATCTTCTACTAAAAGCCAACAGACTCCTTCCCTTGATCACCTACTCAATTTCTGCTCTTCTTTAAGAACCACAACACCCCAAGAGGTGCCTATGCAGTCTCCATGTTCCCTTTTTCTGTCCTCACTTGAGTCCACCTTTCTCCTGAGCTCCAGACTCAGACACCCAGTTGCCTTCTTGGCACCTC